CCAGTAATGTTGGCTGATGCTCCCCCACCCCACCCCACTGGGGGAGAAAGAACCTGGAAAATCATCTAATCTACAGGAGACTGCAAGAGGGTTTCAGGACTATGCTTTTTCTTAAAATAACTCTGAGAATTAAGTGCAAAAATATGTGAATGTCACTTGCTGTTTGCACTTAAGGATAAATGTCAATTTACAACCTATTTATCCATCTAGCAACTGCACTGCACAACCATCCGCAGCAGACAGCCCACTTTTGCAAAACACTGCTGTGATGCACTTAAAATCTTTAACTTTGTAAAGAGGTGTCCACCATGTACCCTCTGAAGAACACACACCGTCTGTATAGGATTTTAGCCTATATTAAATGCTAAGCAACCCCCCCACGATTAGCTTTGTTTAAAAAGCACTTTGAAAACTTTATTAAAAACATTTTTCAAATAGTTTCATAAAGTAAGACATCAGCAAGCCTGGCTTGAGGGGTGGAAAATAAATCGTATATCTTTAACCCGCAGAAGTTAAAAGGCTTTTTTTTTTGTTAGCTAACAATGGAAACTTTTTTTTTTAAAAGTGTTTCCCTCCTTCGGCTTGCCAAGCAATAGAAAAAAAAAAAAAAAAAAAAAAAAAAAAAAAAAAAAAAAAAAACTATTCCCCCCGAGCACACCACAACCCCAGACAGGCTCACAACTTCCTTCCTGCTTTCCTCCCCCAAGCCCCCGCCTTTCTCCCTCCTCCCTCCTCCCCCCAACTTTTTTTTTTTTTTTTAATCGTACATTGTACAAACACTGAAGTTGCTCGGAGCAGACATTGACAGGGGTAGTATCTCCACGGCGGACCAGGGCGTGCGGGGGCCGGCCTGGTTTTGCCACCGCCCGGATCGCCTGACCCCTACGCCGAGGAGTTTTTCTTCTCTCCGTCCCCCCGTTTTTATTGTCTTCTGTAGCTGTTAAGGAAATCAAATCTGGGCATTTTTACTTTGAAAAGCCCTCTCATCCCTGCAAAGTCTGAGTGTCTGGGCATGTAGTCTGCACAGGAGAGCCGGGGAGCCGAGAAACTGCAGGTAAGTTTGGCGGCGTTTTAATGGCTCTCGTCTCTGAACCCTCCCTTTCCTTTACTCGAGTGAAGCTGAGCGTTTCGGGTTCTGAAATCAGAGGGGTGAGCTGGCGAGGAGGAGAAGGGGGTTTCATTTTGGAGGATGGAGTGGAGTGAGAGAAGGGAGAGACGAGTTTCGGCGTTCCTCCCGCCCGCCTTCCGGGACGCTCACTTCGCGCCGCCACCCGCGACACGCTCCAGGCATCCCCAGGATCCGGCCGCCCCGCGGCTCCGCTGGCGCCAGCGAGATTGCCCGGGATGCGGAGAAGCCCAGCACTGCGCCGCGCAGCCCGGGGGCTTACCCGCCCGGGAAGGTTTGCAGACCCGCGAGCTCTGCGCACTTCTGGCCGCCGCCCGGCTGCAGCCACGCACGCCCGGGAGTTCCTCCGAGTGGGCGCGGGCCCCGGAACCCGCAGGGGAAAAAAAAGGGGCGCGGGCCCCGGACCCCGCAGGGGCAGCCGCGTCCTCGGTAGCGGCGCACGGAGGGCTGATTCGCTGCATACGCGCGCGCAGCACACACACACACACACACACACACACACTCACTCCGCGGGGGGCGACGGCAGGGGGACGGCGAGTATTGGTTCCGGTACAAGGGACGTGCAGAACCTCGGCCCCGGGCGCGCGCAGGCGCGCCCACACTCACAAAACACACTTGTTCAGGGACAGGCGACAAGGCCTGTGCTGGAAAACGTTTCGGCTGCGGCCCCGTTGCCCTGCCAGGCCTTCGTAGGCCGAGTGACCCAGCCCCAAGGCCAGGGTCAGGAAGGTGAACGGCGGGCACGCAGGCGCCCTCCCAGATCCGGGCTCTGGCTCGGTTCGGGGAAGGCAAGCCCAGCTCACGTTCCCTCCAAGTCGGTCTCTGGTGCCGGGAGAGGTTGGAGCAGGGGGCCCCCGAAATCCAGGGCGGAGACTACCCCGTTGTCCCGGATAGCCAATGTTTGCTCATGCCGAAGATCCCGGGAGACCGTGGCGGGTGTCCTCACTCCGGGAGGGATGGGAGTCAGCCGCGCCTGCACACAGCACACAGCACGCTTAGGAACCGAGCAGCTGTACGTGGTCCCTCGAGCATCCGCGTGGCTCCCAGACGCATCCTAGCATTTGGAATTTGAAGGGACCTCAAAGCGCATCACGACCTGGGGCGGGGTGGGGGGCGGGTGAACCACATCGGGAAACGCACACCCCTAACGTACTGGCGAGGAGGCAGCCGGGGCATGTGTCCTCGCCGAGCCTCACAGTCCCTGCCGGCGAGACAGGCCAGACATCCATACCGGCCCCGGGCAGACTGGGTTCCCCAGGTTCCGTCCCGGCTCGGTCGCCCCGCCCCGCCCTCGCCGGTCCCCCGGGGTCCTGACTTTTCTTCTATCTCCACAGCCGCGCGGTTGTTTATGGAGCTGTGGGCAGGGGCTGAGCCCGTGGCCGTGTCCCCCGCCCCCCGCCCAGGCCATGCCGCACCATCGAAGAGCGGAGCTGGTGCTGCCGGGCGTCCGGGGCTGAGCCGGGAGCAGCGAGAGGAGGAGGCGCAGGCG